TGCCCTGAATACACAATTATGCGCACCCTTAACTCTACAAAGATGCAGTTTGAAGAAAAAGTTAGCAATCTAAAGGATTTGATAGCAACCAAAATTTCCCTGTACAGTTCTTGGCTCTTGGTGGTCGACAATGTTAGCAGTTTATCTGACACACATGATTTTCTTCCTCGGTATGGAGACGAACAATGGACACGAGGCCTATTGCTCATCACAACTCAGAACACTTCATCCATCCCCTCTGAAAGCTCCTTTGTCTCTCACATTTCAGTGAGCGAGGGCATGGTGCCCACAGATGCCTGTTGCTTTTTAGCGAAGGTTTCTGGGATTGGACAACTGGGAGTAGAAAATGAATTAGCGAAGGCATTAGATTACCAACCTCTCGCGCTGGCTAGTGCAGCCGTGTACGTCCAAAAGATTCGACAAAGTCAAGTTGGTAGAGACTTCGGATGGAAGGAGTATTTAGACAAGCTTGAAAAAGGTATGAGAGCCATCACTGAAAAGGAACTTACAAAAACCAACCCAAGTTACAAGAAATCCATGACTGTGGCAACAAGGCTGGCCATTGAAAGAGCGTTAAACAATGACGCTGTTTTAAAAAGCGCATTTACACTCCTCTCTCTGTGTTCCCCACAACCTTTGCATCTAGACATAGTTATGAATTACATTTTGAATGACAACAATCTGCATTTGGATAAAGAAGAAATCGCTCTTCAGATCCAAGGCTACTCTCTTCTTATGTTCGAAGAAAGAGAAAAAGGAATTTTTGCTAGTGTGCATCGAGTTGTGCATGAGGTAAGCAAATCTGTAATCAACGAGTGTCGGGAGCATGATGAACACATTCAAAGTGTTGCACTAGCTGTAATGTCCTTTAACCAATTCATAGACTCTTTCCTACCACAGACGTGGAACGAGCAAAACTCTGTTTGTGACAGCGAGCATTTCATTTCACACTTGTGTGCGTTAGCTGTCAAAGTTGAAAACTTCTTTCTTCTCGCAGATAAATATCGAGTGATCAAGGAAGGTGTCTTCAACCATTCCGATCTATTAGAATATTTCAGAAGGTTTGCGATAATTTGTCGGAATCACTGCGAATTTTCAGGGGCAAAAGTTTACTGTGAAACAGCTTTGAAACTGGTTGAAAATATCAAAGCTTCTGAAGGTGGGGATCGTGCTGATATCTACAGCCTTCTTAGCATCATATTATGGAAAATGGGTGAGCTAAAACAAGCAAAAGAGTATTGTGAGCGTGCTTTAGACATAAACCTGAAAGAACTTGGACCAAAACATGTTGCCGTTGTGGCTACGTACAATGTTTTGGGTCTGGTTCATCGTGGATTGGGTGACTTGAAAAGTTCTAAGGAGAATCATGAACGTGCTCTAGACATTCAGCTAAAAAATCTTGGAACCCAGCACGTTGATGTGGCAAATACATACCATCATCTAGGTAATGTACAGCACAACTTGGGTAACCTGGATCAGGCCATGGAGTATTACGAACGTGCTTTGGAAATCCAGGTGGAGAATCTTGGTCATGATCACATTTATGTGGCGTTTTCATTCAGCAACATGGGTGTAGTGGAAAGTGAACTGGGAAACCTTCAGCAAGCCAAGGAATATTTTGTACGCACCCTGGACATAAGGTTGAAAGCACTTGGCACCGAGCATGTTGATGTCGCGCGTAGTTACTATGACTTGGGCGTTGTGCAGTACGAATTGGGAGACCTACAAGAGGCTAAAAAGTGTTATGAACGTGCTCTAAACATTCGTTTAAAAAAGCTTGGACCCGAGAAAGTTGCTGTCGTGCATACTCTCTATGAGTTGGGCGATGTACAATGTAAATTGGGGGATCTGCAACAGGCCAAGGAATACTACGAACGAGTTCTTGGCATTGAATTGAAGAAGCTTGGACCCGAGCACGTTGATCTCGTGTCTATTTACCTTAAATTGGGCATGGTACAGAGTAAATTGGGCAACCTGAAACAGACCAAAGAATATCACGAACGAGCATTGGCTGTGCGCCTGAAAAATCTTGAACCTGACCATGTTGATATGGCAAATTCATACCATCATTTGGGTAATGTAGAATTTGCCATGAATAACGTGCAACAGGCGAAAGACCTATACGAACGTGCTTTAGAAATCCAATTGAAGAATCTTGAACCTGACCATGTTTATGTGGCTTTTTCCTACGAAGGCTTGGGAAGTGTACAGCGTAAATTGGGTGTACTGGTAAAGGCAAAGGAGTACTATAAACGTGCACTAAAGATTAGGTTGAAAAGGCTTGGCCCAGTGCATATTGATGTCGCATTTACACACCATAATTTGGGTATGGTGCAGCGTGAATTGTGCCACTTGCAAAAGGCTAAGAAACATTTGAAATGTGCTCTAGACATTACTTTGAAAAAGCTTGGACCAGAGCATGTTGATGTCGCGCGCATTTATGATGACTTAGGTAATGTACAGTATGATTTGGGTGAATTGCAGGAGGCCGCAAAGCACTGCGAATGTGCTCTAAACATAAGGTTGAAAAAGCTTGGACCCGAACATGCTGAGGTCGCCTCTTCTTACCATAACCTTGGTTATGTACAGTGTCAATTGGGTGATTTGCAAAAGTCCAAGGAATGTTACGAACAAGCATTGGCCATACGCCAGAAAACTCTTGGATGTGACCATATTGACATGGCGAATACATACCATCATTTGGGTGTTGTAGAGTGTCAATTGGGTGATCTGCAACAAGCCAGGAAATGTCACCAACAAGCATTGGATATACGCCTGAAAAATCTTGGACCCGAGCATGTCGATATGGCGAATTCATACCATTATTTGGGTAATGTACTGTTTGCAATGAATGACATGCAACAGGCGAAGGAGCTTCACGAACGTGCTTTAGACATCCAACTGAAGAATCTTGAACCTGACCATCTCTATGTGGCGTTTTCACTCCATAACCTGGGTGAAGTACAGCGAGAATTGGGTAACCTGGTCGAGGCAAAGGAGAATTATGAACGTGCTCTAAAAATTAGGTTGGAAAAGCTTGGAACCAGGCATGGTGATGTCCAGAGTACTCTACATGAGTTGTGTAACGTACGACGTGCCTTAAGAGACTTGCAACACGGCAGGGAAAGTCATGAAGGTACTATTGAGAAGGATCATGAACAGCGGAAATGCTGTGTCATCTCTTAACCCTTTCTTAAACCTTTGAGAGTGACTAGCATCTAATTTCTCCCAACAGTATAACCTCTGCATTACATAGTGAGGTCATGAGAATAAAGGAAATGATCACCCACTAAATATTCTCTTGATCGATAATCAAATTCTCCTCGTCAGCACCTTAGGAATTGTTTAGAAAACGGTATGGAGAATCTGCATACTGATGTTAGGATGTAAAGGGTTAATGATATTCTTATCTTCTTAAATTTGTAATAAATTGAAAAGAAAATTTTCAGGGTTATTCTTTTAGTCGTAACCCAAAACCAAATGATTGTACGTGTAAGAAAAGTCTCGGTGGTGCGATTAGTTTGTCAATTTTCTCGAATGATAGGTCGTAGTTTAAAGTAGTTTTGTTGAAAAGCATTTCCAGTCTTGTGCCTGTTGTAAAACATTTTGTGGGTTTTGACCAGTAATGAGACGAGTAGCCTTGGCGAATAATTGTAATGGAGGAAATTCGTGTGGAACTTATGGCCTTCTCGTACACAGAGGTTTTCATCAGACAAAAATGGACTTTTTAACAGTTAATTCGATGTACTATTCGATAGAATAAACATGATCATTAAAGTCTATCTGTTGAACGATAGTTACCTTATTGTATGCGTGATTGACACTAAGGGACGGACCATTAGAAACAAGTGTTTTCTGGTAGGGGAAGGCCGGGTGGAAAACAAAACAATCATTGCATGGCAGGTGAATACGGTGTATCTATTAAAGTATATTCTAAATGAGTCCATAAAATTTTCTCCAAGGTTATCTACACTAAGCAGAGGGAGAATTTGCTATACTTATTTGCCAGCGTAATCCGTATGATTTAAACCCAGAACCTCCGGATTCCGCACTCTGTTGCTCTGCTTCTGAGCCAGAGAGATTGTGTGAGGGAGCAAGTGAGCCTTTAGCTATTTGCAAACGTAATTAGCGAGAACCTAACTAGCGAGAACAGCGAGAACGTGCGATAGCACAGCGCCCTCTAAAACACTTTCAAGTGCTTCTGAAATGAAGAAACAAATCATTCGATCGGTTCAGTAGGTAAACGCGATTTAGACATGAACTTTAATGAAAAATGAACGTGCAAACTGGCTCAGCATGCGCTAGTGTATTTGCTTTTAACAAAGGAAGAGGTTAACTGTTAACTGTAAAATGGCCGAAATTTTAACCGTTAACCCTTTAACTCCCATCGGTGATTCGCATATAACTTCTCCTTACAATATCCATGTACTATCCAACAAACAGGTAATGAGAATACTCAAGTGTATCAGGTAGAAGTTGTTATCTTGATCTAAAACTAAATTCTTGCAACTAATTTACAAGGAAATGTGTAGCAGCTAGAGGGGAGAATTAACAATCAGATCCTGAGACTCACGGAAGGGGCAGCGGTCGTCGCCAACAGAGTGTAAATGGGGGACTATAGAAAATTGGTCTTCAGTTAACTGGAAACGAGGGAGGGAGGGACAATAGGAATAGACATGAGGGAGGGAGGGATAGTAGGAATAGACATGAGGGAGGGAGGGACAGTAGGAATAGACATGAGGGAGGGAAGGATAGTAGGAATGTTACAGAGCCTCTTTGGGGGGCAGGTTAATTTAGCGAGGCACGACCAAAATCTTACCAACCCCACCCCCTCCTGTGATAAATAATGACCCGTCTCTTTTCAGGATACAGAAATATATCGGTGATTCGTGAAACGAAGAGGATATAAATCTCCTTAATCCCTAAATCTTTACCCCTGCATTTAAATATTGCTTGATAACCACTTTTTTCCAAGTTTCCTCTCTCATAGACTCCTAGAGCTATCGCGATCTCCGAAGAAGCCTTCTTCCTCGGATCTCAAGCAACTTTCTAGCCTCGGGATATTCCGTCAGAGCCTCGAGCAGATCTTCTTTTGACAAGCATAGAAGTTCTGAATATCCTTCGGAGCGAACGTTTGCGGTTCGACGATTTCCAGTGTTCGATAAATTTAGGATGCTTATTTCACCAAAATAGCTACCTTCATTCAGTGTAGCGATCACAGTTTCTTGATCGTCCTGTACAACTTGCAGTCGGCCACTGCTCACTAAGTACATCTCTTTTCCTGGCTCACCCTTTCTGCAGATGAAATCACCAGGGGAGTAAACTTGCGAGCGAAGTTTCAAAACGATCTCTTTCAACAGACCAGGCTCTACATCAGCAAAGACTTGTACTCTTTTTAAAGTTTCCAAGTGAACCTGTACTGCTATTTCAGTTCTAAGCGGATGAGGCAGTTTACTGAGAACATTATCGCGGTCCAAAGAGGACTTTTTTGTTCCCCACATGTAATTAAACCACGAAACAACCCTCTTTTGCAAATCGTCGTCAATCTCGTGAAAAACTAAGTACTGTTTCACAGCATCGGCTTGTGCTAAGAATTCTCTTCGCACATGTAGCATGTGTGTTATCATGCTTCCAAACTGCCCAACTATTGCAGCAAACACCAAGAATCCAACCGTTAAATCGACCGTCACAAAGAAAAGTTCTACGTCAGTCTGGGGTGGGTTTTCCGTCTCACCCGTTGTGAGCATTCTCGATGACCAGTACAAGCTAAACAAATACTGTCGGGTTAGAGAATCGAATCCCGGTGAGGTTAAGTCCGGGTAAACCCAGGTGTCCGATCCAAATCCAATCCATTTTGACAACAAGAAGTAAAAACAAGCGTTCCAGTGAAAGATCAACAAAACCATAGCAATTAAGGAGCACAGACGAAGAAAATTTGGGAATCTTGAAATGGTCTCGATCGTGGCCCTTAATTCTAACAGGCGATGCAGACGCAGAAGACGATTGAATCTCAGAGCAACCGAGTTGATTCCAACCTCGAGGTAGAACAGGTCCAGAGGTATAATTGACAAGCAGTCTAATTTAAAAATTATTTTCTTCGTGTAATTTCGATGGAGTTGCTTCGGATCTCGAACAAGAAGTCCTCGTTCCATAAAGCCTACGAAAGCAATCAACATCAAGAATTAGGAAAAAAAGTAACGCTTAAAATTTCCATTGGGTGAAATTAAAAAAATTGATCAATGGTCTTGGTAGCTCCTGAACGTGCGCAATCTTTTGTTTTGTCTTCACATATTTACACGAATGAATAAATTAGTGGGAAGTTCCTAATGGTCACAACAACTTCTGAGCTTTTTTTGTGAAAAGGAAATTGGGTACAAAAAGTTTGACTGAAACAGACTCCAGAATATACTTTTCTGCCATTTTTGATCAGTTACGTCATTTAACTTTGCCGATAAAGTTGTGTAGACATTCTTTTTAACCATGTTTGACTTTCACTCGGCGTGAAACGAAGTCTGTTGATCAACGAGACCGTAGATAGCATTAGCATAGCAATTAGTTGCATTCAACTAGTTAAGGGATAAATAATTAATACTAGACGGAACTTTTTCATGGAATTTAACGTGCCGAGAGTTACCCGAAAATATCTTTAACCTCCAATCAGGAAACCTATGAACAGTCGCCCCCCCTTCCATACGAGAAAAAAATTGGGATGGGGCCTTCCCAATCTAGTGAGCAATACACAGTGTGCGATATGATCACCTAGAGTCATTTTCACCTAATGATTATTAAGGCTTCAAAATCGACAGAAATATGCCAAGACGTTTCCCAGAAAGTGGTACACGAGAGGAAAAAGTGCTGAATCCTTCGTGAAAGATTTCGCTTTCAGAGTCCACTAACTTAGCTGCTAAGAACTCGTTGGCGGTATTGGCTAAAGTAGTTTCAGATTGTGAAAAGCGTCTCGCATACTGTGATACAACTAGGATCAGAGGCAATGCCAAAAGCGTCATGTGAATAAACAGGTTAGGAGAGATGAAAGTTGTCTTTAAAAAGAGATGCTGTTCATTTTGTCTCGACTGTATAACAAAACTTATCCGAATTTCCCGTGAGAAATCGAACCTAAAACCTTCGGATTTCGCGCATCGATACTTTACTACTGAGTTACAGAGAAATCGTTGACGAGTCAAGCATTTGTTAAGTTTATATAAGTGGTAAGCGGCCCGCCAATTCAGGATTAGCAAAGTCAATAGTGTCCTGAGTGGAGATAAAGATTAAGAAAGATTGATTGTCTGTTCGGGCTCAACCGGTTAATAGGACATGTTGAATACTCGTCACAAGTGTTGGGTGGGACAAATTTAGTGCATGTTTCTATGCTTGTTTCCTAAACTTTGCTTTTCACGTGCTTGCAACCATCAATTATACGATCATTTCCCTCCATTCTCTAAAACTAATGATAGATTTCTGGCGCCGAAAGAAGTCTTAACAACCAATTATCAATTGTTCGAGTTTGTCCTGCCCTAAGGCGTAGGGCGCCCGTTTGTCTACATTTATTGTACAACGGTACAGTACGATAAAAAAAGCTACGATATTGTTCTTCTTGAAAAGAAGGCATAATTACAATTTTCAGGGCCAATAAGAAATAATTCACATCTTTAAATTCTACTTTTTGAATTGGTGTTGTTTTAAACCTTTGTTCCGCTATATCGGTGTATTTTATGGTGTGTTATGTCTGTGGAAATCAGTTTTCGAGCACAACAAAAGCCGTTAATATGGCTATCTTATCGAAATTGTCTGGTGCTAATCCAATTTACGTTAGCGCAACCCACCAACCTAATTCTTGAGGTTTTTGTTAATTTCCCATCCCATAGGGGTGAGGAATGAAAGCTATTAAAACTTGCGTAAATGCTGGTTTTATGCAATTTTCAAGGCGTAAAGTTTTAAAGTTTTATAGTTAAGTACATCTGACTTACTACCACTAAGGGAAAAAGCACCCATATAAGCGACTATTTTGAATGAAATCACTATGGAAAAAAAATTGACACTTTGCTAACTGAAAACAATCATAGATCTTTCAGAACTAGTTGGTTCATTTAAGAATATTGCTTCACAGAAGTAAGACTACGTGAATTTATCAAGAGTCGAGACATTTGTGTTTTGTCTACTATCTCAGAGTTTAAAATGTAACCAAAACTACGTTCCATCAGTAAAACGACTTTTCGTTTGATGAAGAATTGAGAGTAGGCAACGCTACTTTTCAACATCGCCAAATTTACAACTTTTAATTAAATTACCTACGAAGGGAAGTGAGTAATTTTTTCGCATTTAAACGACCAAACCATCTTGGCTAAAAAGAATCTTTTCGTTTAGAAGGACTTAATATCACAAATCGTTTATTTGTTAAATGTAAAACTATAAAGAAAACTGTCACGGAGTAGGGGAAATTTCTTGTACGGAACGCTCTTTCTACATTTCGAAGATTTCATCGTTGTTTTCAATTATACAATCATAATAATCGCAGTTTTTCCGGCTTAGTTGCTGCGAGTGTTAACTTCTGTTGTTATTCAAACTATGAGCCTTTTTACTTTAAGTTAATAGCTGATTTGGCGACAGAGTTTAAGACAATAAATAATTAAGGATTTTTTTCCCCTAACAGCTGCAGTGAGTTAATAACGCAGAAAATTTCCCTTGACTCGACTTGGAATCAGAAGGCTGAAAACAGTGCTTGTTATTCTAACAGTTTGAATTAGAGAGAAATGCTACTCGTTGAAGTTGCGCTAAGGTTGAAACACAAACTGATCAAAATATATATTTCAAATAGAATTTTAGCTTAAAATTAACTACATTTATAACTTCTGAGTAATTGCAAGGGCTGTGCAAACTGTATCAGTGTCAGACCATTCTATTCCGAGCAGTTAAAGAACACGGAAAGAAGCGAACATGTTGCCATATTTTTTTGAAAAACACTTTGGCATGCACATAAAGAAACGAACCAGCTGTCGTAAGGAGCTGCTTACCTGTTTTGAATTGTATCACCATATCCACGATGTAGATGATATCTGAGAGGTAATCCAAAGTGAGCCAGAGTGATAAAGTGTTAATCTGAAGGTCTAAAAACGCTGTGCGCGCGATGATGAAAATCCAGTTGTACAGTACAGATATCGTTACAATTATCAACCAACAGTAATGTAAAGATCCTGAAGGATCTATCACAATCGAGGAGGCTGAGGAATCCAGCTTCCTGCTGTTTCGTGTCACATGCGAGGGACCGGCCATTTCTAGCTTTTCGAGGAATGAATCTACGCGCGGCGTGTTTTCGGTTCTTTTGGCACGAGTTTTGTTGAGCCATGAACTCGCGAGTTGTAACGTTTTCGCGACATGTACCATCGCAGAACCAGACGACTTTTCATTGCTTTCTTTATTCGCGTGGACCTCGTTGTTTCCGATACCTTCTGCAGCTGTCCTGAAAACCTCATGAACGTCTTCATCTTCTTTATCGTCGGCGTTTTCAAGTGCCTGAAGTTCTTGATTAAATACATCTTCATCCTTTTCGGCGCTAACCTCTTCGTTTCCAGTTGACTCAGTTGTAACAGAGTCCAAAAACTCCGAGCTGTTCATTGCCGGAGAGACGAAGACTTTTACTGTTTGTTCCATGAGTTCTTAAAGGATTATTTTTGGTTCTTAACACATGGCACAACAATTAGAAATTTGCGAAATGGAGCCGATTTTTTTTCAAGCAAAGTGATTTTTTCGTTTTCCTAGGAAAGACAACCTTGAAAAAGAAATTCAAACCTTGACCTCAGAAAGCAGCACTCAATCCACGTCCCTCTGTCCTTTTTAGACGGCAAACTAACTCTTAAGCTAAGGTTACAAAATTAAGTTCTATGTAAACGGAACAGTTCTTCACGTCGCTACGAAAACAAGCTTAATATCGATTGTTTACAGCATAATAGGCTACAACTCCCGAGGCGAGAGCAGATATGGCTTTTGTTTACTAATCACTTGAGATAATACAGTGTTCTTTTCAATAGATAAACAAAAAAGCCGCAAAGAATAATCGATCGGAAGCAGTGCTGAATAACATCTAAACTACGTTTGATCGCATCGATTTCCCTGTGTTTGAAACAGAAATCAAGATCTTAAAACGACTTAAACAGGTTGTTTGAAATGTTGCCTCTCTGGAATTATGTTCATACCGTGCTGACAAAAGTCGGTGGAAAGTTTAAAACAGAAAATTTTTAAAAATATATACTTAAGTATACACGATGTCTTAAGACGCAGAAATGAATCAGTAGGGCATGTAAACGGCACAATCAAAAATCATACTTAATCAACGACGGAGAAGTGAAAATTCTTCGATCGCAAAAAAAAAAAAAACGTCAACATCGTTTCTTCATTTGGTTTACTTGATCAATACCTGGAAGGAGGTCCTTCAGAGACCCAGGCACACTGTATTTAAATCCATCTCATTTTGAACAATGAACAGCACATAAGTACCTCTTTATTAAACTCTTAGAGAGGACTTTCGAGGAAGTCATGTGGTTAATTATTACAGCTTAGGCTGATGTGCGTAGTTTTGCACAGAATAGCTCAGCGTGGGTCTTCACTTATACGGTACTTAGTTTTTAATTTAAAATTGCCATTTTCACATTGTTTTTTATTTTCGATTCGGTCTTTTTGTAATGCATTCATAATGTTCAATAAGCCACATTTTAATAACCATTTCTTTATTGGTGGTCTCTCGTGAAAATTAAAGTACGAGTGCTTCAGGATGGGAGTTTGAAAAATTTCTGCGATGCTGCCCAGCGAGCATGATAAAAAAAAAAACCAAAATCTGAATATCTTCAACTCTGGACAAACCGGACGTCGCTTAGTCTCACAAATAATGGCATGAGACAGGTCTAACATAAATATAAGTGATCTCTACTTTTGATTCAGTCATAAAATTATTTACATCTTTTCCTTGAGCAAAGTTAACTACAAAGTAGAAAATATATTTGTGGCGTTTTTAAGTAGGCTTTGAAAATAAAATAGAAAAAAAATGAACACTCGATTCTCTCAGGTTTGAACCAGAAATACGCTTTCCAGGTGTATTTCATCAGTCAGCAAAATGTTATGCGATGAGTTACGGAGCACTACAAGTGAATTTTTACGAAATGGTGTCTTTGTCATCAACTTCCCATAAGACGCGTCCAGTGATTAAAGAAGGTTCGTCCCTTGCCCAAAACTGACAAAAAGCAGACAAACCAACCAACCAAAAAGCAAACAAAAAAACAAACAAACAAAACAAACAAACAAACAAACAAAACAAACAAACAAACAAAACAAACAAACAAACAAAACAAACAAACAAAACAAACAAACAAACGAACAAAACAAACAATATGGATGCACAAGAGAAGAGAGACAGTTTTAAGTTTTTCGTTATACTTTTTCTTTTACAGCAGTTATGATGGTTAAAACGTTTCTTTTTAACAAAGCAGTTTTTATTATTTTCTTTAGGCTTTGGGGGTAATAGATATTTCTCACAATAGCTTCAACACCAAGAATGCACCACACTGTAAAAATATTCCCCAGGTAAGGGAGTCAAGTTATTTTAATTCAAAATGAATCAATGGTGTTAAAAATCACATCTTCCCACTCAAAAGATAACTTCTATCACTTACGTGCCCTTAAAGTCAGCCCTCTCTAGATCATTTTACCAAATCTATCATTCAGATATTTCCAATCTCAATGATAGCATCCACTACATTCCCAGTCTTCCGTAGACATTTTATAGCAAGATTTCTATCCACATTGAGCTGCTTCACAATTAAGTCAATGTCTGATTGTTCTAAGTCATCTTCACTCTCAGCTATTTCTCCAAATGCTAGAAATACAGCCTTATTAAAGAGCATGTCCTTTATATTGTCACATGTTGCAATTTTACCTTTATTAATAAGTTTAAGTTTGGAAACAGGGATGCTCAAGTGATCTGAAATAATCTGTAAAACTGAACTACCATTGTCATTTAGCGACACCATAAGTTCACTCTTGACTTTATTGTGTTTGATATAAATTTTGATGGTGTGTTCTTTGGTGCCGTTTGCAGAAAATTCTACATCCTTATTACTGCTTTCTTTCATAGAACCATGATTTCTTTCCCTGATATTTTTGTCATCTGCTTTGTTTTCAATAGTGTCGTTGAAAGACAAGCCATTAGAATATTCTTGTATTGCATCTCTCACATTGGCTATTCCAGCCATGCTACTGTTTTCCAAAGAAAGTAGACTTGAAGGTAATGAAGGAGTTTGTAACTCAGTTGATGATGTACAAACTTTCCTTCCATTTACTCTAAACTCCAGGCAACTTGGTTTATGGTTTGGCCAGTGAAGCAATTGACACTCCTTGGAACTAAAAAAATGGGATGAATTGAAATGTCTTAAGTTGTTAAGGACAGAAAAGAAAAATAGGAAAAACATCAGTCGTAAAGTTAAGAAAAAATGAAAAAATATGTTCAGGAGTTGAATTAGTAAGAAAAATCCTATGAACTGTGATTAATTCGCCGTTTTTACAATTTGTTCGATAAAGAGAGGTAATGGAGTTCGGGTGCAAAGAAATGTGGCTCTAAAAATCATAATATTTACCAATAAAATTCTTGCTTGCAGGCCGTGCATCGTTTCATAAATCTTTGTTTACTTTTGCAGTTCGCACAGACGACAACAATCACCAAATCCGCCATCTTGATTTCTTAGCCGCCAACAGAGGTCGAAAAAGACTGGTGACTTTTCAGTCATGCGCACTCATAACTTGAACTTTATTTTGGTTTTCAAGTAATTGCAAATCGAGTTCTGACTGAGTTCAAAATATTGTGTGGGAAATATGGGCTAAAGAAATGGGTTGAAGGACAATTATGGTAGGAATAACTTTTCTCTAAAGTGTGTTATACAACTGTGTGAAATTGAAATCAGTTCAATCGATGGATTCCACATTTGCAGGGTGCCACCGCTTCTCAGTTGGAGAAGGACATCGGTCATGAATTTCCGCAAAATGAACATTATTTTGGCTTGGTGAATGTAAGTATGCTCGCATTCTTTCGCTCATTTTAGAGACAGACACCAGACTAAGGCGCTGATATGTATTTTAAACTCCTTCTCTGCAGTTTGGAAACACATGTTATTGCAATTCAGTTCTGCAAGCGTTATTTTTCTGTCGCCCGTTCCGCGAGCGAGTTTTGGGCTACAAACCTCTTTCCAAGAGGAAGGAATCGTTACTGACGTGTCTGGCTGATCTTTTTGGTAACATCGCTTCGCAGAAGAAAAAAGTTGGTGTTTTGGCGCCCAAGAAGTTCGTAGCTAGACTCAGGAAAGAAAACGGTGAGGAAAAATTTAATTTTTATGATTCTGTGTACGTGGTACGCGTAGGAACTGCAAGAAGCTGTTTTAATCAAACAAACTCGTTAATTTCGTACTTTTGATTATTTTCGTGCAGTTGCTTTTCAAATCTCTATCATGCAATTGCTGAAAGATCGAAAGGATTTTAGCTTGAAAAAATAACGTAAAAATGATTTAAAAACTGATTTAAGGTTCTTCGCCTCTGCAGCTAATGAAACCGTACCAGTAGAACATAAGTAAGACTTTTGCTGACCACGCAGATTTCTTACAATTTTTTCTTTGTTTTTTCTTACTTTTGTTTTTACAAAAGTGAGAAATCTGATTACCTTATTGTCAATTTGATTGTTGTAGCTTCCGGCTTCCAGGAAGTTCTAAGAATTTGAATGATTATTACATGCCGGTAATATATATGATGCAAAGTTGCCTTGTCAAAATACCCTTTTGATTAATGAAAATTCAGATTAAACAGTAATGCATAGTTCTGGAAAATAAACTCTGATAAGTTTTTATTCCCCAGAACTTGGCATTGATGTCAACTGTTTTTAAGCCAAATTGCAAAATAAACTATCACAACTGGCCATTATTTACTGAATTAATTTATGGGAAAATGTGATTCTAAGGGTGACAGATGTTAATCTATAATTACACCAGAAGTCAGAAAAAAAGTAATGAATTCCCTTCTTCTAATCATGTGGTAAATATCACTCATATAAGAGTATTGTTTTGTTTACAACAAGAAGTTGTCATCTTCAGAGACACCAGGCTACTTTTGACTGAAAAGATATCTGCTGATATAAATTTAGTCTCATTGATGTAAACTTTAATGTTTGAGGAAGTAAAGGTAATATTTTTTAATAATAACTGGCACATATTTTCACAGAACTTTTTGACAACTACATGCAACAGGATGCCCATGAATTCCTTAATTATCTTTTGAATACAATAGCAGATTTGTTACAAGGTGAGTTTATTTGATGCACGAATAAATTAAAGTTGTTAATGATTATAACTACTGATATTTTGTTTTTCTTTGGGGGTGAGGGGAAGGAAGGGAGGGGAGGCTGGGACATCTGGTGGTCTCTTGATTGAACAAAGGACTTCAGATCAAACGTGTTGCCAAATGTTTAGGCTGTCTCCACCTAGGAGTATGTACAGGGGAACTTTCAGGCAAGTGTATAAAAATGTTTTGAGGTTAAATGTGATTGAGTAGCAACCCAACCAGGGGGATGCGAGCGGCAATTTTCTTGCTCATTTCCCATTAGTGAAGCCACTCATTGGTGGGCCAGTGGTGTGAGCTCACCTTTTTGTTTTCTTATATGGATGACAATATTATCATTCTTGTTTCTGAGAATGTCTTTTTGTCATCAAATAAGTAGTTGTCTAACAAAAATGTTAATTGTAGTGAGGAGTGTTTGAATCCCTGGTCTGGTATTTTTGGCATAATTTTTTGGCAATAAGATTATACAGTCCTTCAATCTTCGGGTGTGATCCCACTTACTTATTACTGAGATGGAAAGTGATTTAGACCAACAGTAAGAATCAAAGAGGAAAATACTGTTTGGAGATAAACAAAATTCTCTCGACTAGCTTGAAAAGAAACGCAGTTTTTTGAGAATTGACTCTTGGATCTTTGGCATACATGTACAAATAAAAGGGTTAACAGGGTTCTATGATATATTTTACCATGATCTTTTATGTCTTAATTCAAGGTGAAAAGGCAAAAGAAAAAGACAAAGACAAACACAGCAGCACCAGTAGTGTAAGCAGTAAAAGTAGCGTGTCTTCTGCTGGAACAACAAATGGAGGATCACAACAGAATAACAAGACAGAACCTACCTGGGTTCATGATATCTTTGAGGGAATTTTAACAAATGAAACAAGATGTCTGTGCTGTGAAACAGTAAGTGAAGGCATGGAATTAACCTTTTTATTCCCAAGATCTCATCAATAAGTCTCCTTACTGTCTGTCTTAGAATTCTTATGATGTCAATTCAGATAATTTGGTGTTGAACCTACTTACACGTATAATAATTCCTTATTTTTCTTTGTTCTCATCACTTGTCTGCTTGATATTATATTGATATTGTGAGGAGAAATTATGTTTTGGTCACACATGGGACTTAACAGAGTTAAATATTTGGTGGTCTGATAGATTGGTATTTATGATGTTTGCTGCTGTTGGATGACAAAGATGAATTGGGAGGCTTGATGAAAGCAGCCAGAGTCAGAATGATGAAAGTAAAACAGTCACTGTACTTGAAATTGGCAGTATTTTTACCACAAATCATAACTGCAAGCAGCTATTACCTTTTTATTCAGCAGTGTCCTCAAAGAATGAACCAATACCATCATAGTGGAGCTCGCAGAGCGTAGCCCCATAATTATACAAAATAGTGGTAACCCATCAAGCCAAAAAAATTTGGATGTAAGACAGTACAACTGTACAAGATGCTACTTTTAACATGCATGGTCAACTGTACCGCAGGCACACCAACGCCATGGCTTTGTTCAGTGGTCCAGTGGTCAGTGCACTGGGCTCTGAGTCGGACAACCCGGGTTTTAGTCCTGGCCGGGGCAAGGCGTTGTGCCCTTGAGACGTGCAGGAAAGAAAAATGCGAGCTCTGCTTTTAGGCTTGGCTAAATCTATATATGAAACTCCTTTTGATTTTAGGTCAGTAGTAAGGATGAATCATTTCTGGATCTTTCTGTGGATGTGGAACAAAATACTTCAATAACACATTGCCTTAAGTAAGTAACATTTTCGCCAAATTGTTTTTGTAAAGAACTGGTGGTCTCTAAATAGCTACTTTAAGCCTTGTAGTTTATCTCTTAAAATCAGCCATATGTACCCTCAACCCACATAAGTACAGTGTAATGAGCAGAGAACAGAGGTTGTTGTACATGTACTGTAAGTTATACTTCTAACAAAGATAGTGAGTTATATAGAAGTTGTATATCAAAATGTATTTCAGGTCAAGAAGGGCAGTTAGTAATATACTTTAGATAAATGTAGTTTTAACCTTGAATTTCTTCTTTCTTTTTTTATAAACAGAGGCTTCTCCTCTACCGAGACACTTTGCAGTGAGCATAAGTACTTTTGTGAAACATGCTGTAGTAAACAGGAGGCACAGAAGAGGTAACTCATTCTTACCAATAAAAGGGCAATTGCTGTTACAAAGGCCACATATGCAAAACTGAACAATTGGATTAGAGGGTGGTGGTAAAGCTAGTACAATCCAGGATTTTATTAATGCAGATTTGGCCATCATATGTCTATAGACCTGTATAATGCTGTCAATTGTGATTTGTCTTCCAGGATGAGAGTGAAGAAACTACCAAAGATTCTAGCACTTCACTTGAAAAGGTTTAAATACATGGAACAGTTACAGAGATATGCAAAGTTGTCATACAGAGTAGTGTTCCCCTTTGAACTGAGACTCTTCAATACAGTGAGTACAACAGAATTATAATCATTGTGAGTTCCTATGGTCTTAAGTAGACAGAGGTGTGGTGGTTTATTGGTTAGGGTGCCAGACTCTGTTGAGACCTTTGGGTCATTGTGTTATGTTTTTGGGCAGGACACTTGCACTTCACAGAAGAGAGTTTTAGATCCAGGTTTGGTGTGTTAGTTCCAAGCATCAAATTGTGGTTGGCAGTTTGAGTTTAGAAGTTAGTGGTTCTAAGATTTTCAGCTTGTTAGATGGATGTTCACTTTCACCTGAAAAAAGTCAACATGGTTGCTGCCATCCTGAATTCCACAAAAAGAGAATTCACCTCACATACATTTACAGAACATACATGAAAAATTTCGAACAGGAAGAAGAAAAGCACAGATGGAGTTGACCTTCCCTGAAACTGCCTTGCATGAAGTTCAAACGTGGACTGCTGGAGTCTGGTCACATAACATGACTCCTAGTGATTTGCAGTCACACATATTCAGAAAAAAAAACATGGATCTGAGACTTTCTTATACCTCTCTCCATCCAAGTGTATTAATGAGTAGCTAACTGTCAGGGAAGCCTGATGAAATGCTGATGGGGGTGAGAGGGGTTTTTTTTTTTTGGGGGGGGGGGGTTACCTGTAATGGACTGGAATCCCATCTAGGGGGGAGCAGCAATACTCTACACTGCAAGATGCTTCAGAGACCTGGATAAGCTTCAGCTGGAGAAAAATTGGTCTTTAAGATGCCCAAAAGACTAAGAATAATTTGTTTTGTTTTGTTTGTTATTTTTTTGTAATTCAAGACTTAGGGTATTGAGTCAAATATATTCAACAAATGCAATGTATTGCATGTTTTTTTTTCCTAGTCTGATGATGCAATAAACCATGAAAAACTTTATGATCTTGTTGCTGTTGTCATACATTGTGGCAGGTGAATGATTTCTTCTGAAATTCACATCTTCTGTATTTTCTGTAAACATTCAATAATTCTCCTCACAATTTCTGGCGAAAAAGTTATACAAGCAGGTGAAGTGAAATGAGAAAATTATCATCAAGAGAAGTTGTATAAAATGCCAGATTCTTGTGATAGCCCGGAAACATATGTATCAATGATAATCCCGTAAGGAAATAACTCTTTGCACCATAGGTTGTAATAATTAGCGAAACTTGTAATCATGTCACTTAGATCTGTTAAGTCTGTAAAGAGGTTTAAAATTTTTCTGCTAGTACTTTTGGGTGCTGACTTTTAAATTGCTGTTTAGTTCATGGCATATCATTTTTAATTTTGTTATTTCAGTGGACCAAACCGGGGACATTATATTACTATTGTGAAAAGCCATGGCCTTTGGCTTCTCTTTGATGATGATATTGTAGAGGTTAGTGCACTACTTGGAATGGGGTTGTTGTTGTCATTTTTAAAATACATTAAATTGTTTTCAGGTGACAGTTATTTACAGGTATTTCCACAGTAAACAACTTTTACATTCATGTATTTAGGAGCCCAGTGTTCACTACTTAAAAATGACAAGGCAAAATTTGAGATATGCTGAACTTGAAGTTTATCACATCAACAAGTGCTTCACTGAAATCCAAATACACATATTCACTGAAAAAAGCAAAATAGAAACCAAATCAACAACAAACAAAAAGGTCCAATCAGTAAAAACAGATCAATATTTGTATGCCTTGTTCTGTTGATAAACTAAGGAAAAAAACCTAACTCCACAATAAAAACAAGCTTAACTCACTTGAACTGAAAACCATGTGCTTAACGAAAGTCTATATCCTTAACTGTCACTATGATACATCAAGCATTTTTTTATGACCCAATATCCATGAAAAGAATTCAGTTCCCTGCTAATAAGGAGAAATTAAGGAATTAACAACATTTTTATCCTTTCATCAACTTGAGAATTTTGAGCTACTAATACCAGTTTGCCATAATCAAAATACCATTGACCTTTTTAACTATTATTTTGCTTTCATCAGAAAATCGAAGCTCAAGCAATAGAGGAGTTCTATGGTTTGACATCAGAAATCCAAAAGTCTTCCGAGTCAGGCTACATCCTATTTTATGAAGCAAGGAGTTAGATTGAAAATAATGCTACTAAAATGTATTTCTAAGTACTAATTTTTAAGGGACTTTCAGGTGTCTTGGGGCTCAAGACAAACATGATCCAATAAGGCACAGGCTGACTTGGCAAAGGTGTTGTGGACAGATATTGTCCACAGCACTTTCACTAAGTCTAAGTCATCTTTTTTGTCTTTTATTAAGCCTTTAAAACCCAAGATCAGATTGTAAATTCTCCCATCTAACTGGTACACATTTATGACACCAGTTATGAGAATTTGGTGTTAGATCAAGATAAAAACTTCTGCTTGATAAGCCTAAGTATTGTCATTGCCTGTTTCCAGGATAAAGTATGGGCAATTGTAAGGAGAAGTTACATTTCAATCACTTCTAGGAGTTTAAGGGTTAACCTGAACTGCAATTCAAACCTCAAATTATGTTTTAGGAAATGCTTTTTCTTCTTCTCTCTCCTTTGTCCTTTTCATTTTTTTTTTTCCTGCAACATTCTTGTAAACTAAGATACTTGAAAAGTGTCAACAGGTTAAGTGCTGCAAGAGTGGGTTTAAAAAAAAAAAGGAAATTTATCACAATTTATTTAATCTCAACTTTGGCACAAGAGACTAGTGTCTTCTCTTCCTCATCATTAAGTTAGGCATCCAGTTTGGTTTTGTCTCCAAAATTCAGTAGACCCAGTTCCCTTTTAGCAATTTCTAATGAGCTTTAGGCACTGGTTACTGAGATTTCTGCGAGCACATGTAGGTTACAAATACAGAAGATCTTTACCCATTAGGCAAGTTAATATTAAGTTAGTCTTGAGCTCCGAAAGACTCTATCAAGTAAATTCTGCAACTGTTTTGATAATCAGGAAGAATGTGTAATTTTTTTTTTACTCTGATAGGAATTGTTTTCTTGTGATAGGTAGCTAGCTTTGGATGTCAACTGTAAAGGACAGTGGCTGTAAGATAAACTGTAATCAATCAAGCATTCAGTTGACCTGTAATGCTACATTGTAAATTTTTTTGGTGGCTGTTGCTTGGTATTATTATGTCTTTCAAAACTTGCAAACTCTGAAGTTCAAAACCCAGCAAAGGCAAGAAGTAGTGGTCCAATTTCTATCTTTGGAATTGTGGAATTAATGTACAAGTAACAGAGAGAGATGTCGTTCATCTTGTCACAAGCATGGGATGAAGAATGAATTATGCTTCCCCTTGAGGAGTCAAACCTCAAGAGCTCAGATCTTTAGATTCCATGCTCTAATGCATCAATGTTACAAGAGAGCCAGATTTCCTTAAAGAGATGTGTAATTTAAAATATTACACTTCCCACAAAACTTTGGTGTGTTTCAACCTTTAAGATTGGAAAGGTAATTCCTCAAACAAGAGACAACACCTTTCTTGTTACCTTATAGTGAGAATCAACTGCTAAGTAGAAGTAATTCTCAATGTTGAAAACTTATTTTGAAATTTCATTTCCTGTCTGTTGTGTTGTGTATCAGAATTTTAAGGAGAATTAAAGCTCTGATCACTCTTATCAAGAGTCTCAGTTTGCTAGTTATTATGAAATCTTAATATTCATCAGTTTTAACTTCAGAGTTTGCATTATGAGGTGAAATAACTACAATCAGTTCTGTGATATCATTATGCTGTTTGAGAATGTATCTTGCTGTACAGTTTTAATTTCTATGAACGTGCAATAAAGTATAAACCATCATGTAGCCTGCTGTACATGTCAAGGGTGTGTTTTACTATGAATACACAACTCCATATCCTGTTTCCAAAACATGATGGATGACCCACTTTCCCTCTATCAGCTACAAAAAGGGTTGAAACATCATGCATGTTATAATGGGTGATCCAGCTTTGCAAAATAATTCTCAAGTCATTTTATGCATTAATGAACTGATTTTTTTTTTAATCATGGGTGATCTGGCTTTGCAAAACATTTCTCTCCAATTATTTTATTCATTAGCAACTTTTTAAAATCCACTTTGTATTATTGTTACTTCTATGCAAGTCAGAGAAGACCTCTTCTTGATGCTGATTAATTTTTATTTATTTAATTTTTTGAGACAAATAACTTGTGGTGAGGTCACTTCTCTGTGGTTCAGAACCTTTTGTCAGTACATGAACACCTCATCCAGTGCAGGAGGTCTTTCTGATACAGTACATTGTTGTAAAACTATTTCAATGGCTTTTATGTAACATATTACACTATAATGACACAAGACGACTTAAAAGATAGGATGCCAAAACAATGATAAACCATAGTAAACTTTAGCTGATTGAATGAGATCAAAATGGACTTTTTAACAACACAAATACAAGATCAGGGAACTTGAAAATAACGTCAGTTGTAGTGCTAACATGCCAGAGAACTTTCACTACTAAGACATAAATATGAAACAAAACTTAAAAATATCATTCAGGTTAATCATATGGTAAACATAGGGCTCAACCACTTCTTACAAAATGGGAGCCTTTACTAAAGTTGTGTGTATAATGAAGATAGTGCTAGTATTTTTGAACAAGGAAACTCTGTGGGCTGGTTATTTATACCAGGTCTAACCCAAACCCCAGTTTTATACACCAAGTGGGCCTTACATAATTATTCTCTAATAGAGGGTTGTTCTCATTACACAAATGTCCTTCCACAGATAACTTTTGGCCTTCTTGACAATGATCACAAAAATAAATGTTGAAATAGAAGATTCAGCTAAATTCAAGAAAGTTTAGAATGTGGTTTTGTTAAACAATGGCTAAACTTTGTTGAAATAACTGGCCCTCTATGTAATAGGCACAACTTCAGAGTGTTTACTCTTGTGGCATTTGGACTTAAAATGCCCACCAATTAAATAAGTTTAGTAATCAAAGCCAGCCCTGTTGACAGTGTATTCTTCTGGGAAGTCGAAATAAAACTTGTTCTCTTGGCTTATTAAAGGCAGAATACCAGCATTTGGGATAACATTCCATGATAAATAGAGGCTGACATTCTTGTTTCCCCTGCAGAAGGGTAAAAACAGTTTGTTATATTGTGTTACAATACTTCTACAGACTTAGCTTTAACAGAGGTGAGAAAAATCCAGTCCTCTTGACAAGGGCAAATAACATTTTCATCGCTACTCAAAGTTTTTTTTTTAATGGATTCCCCAAAGTTTTAAGAGCTAAAATATCTCATTTTTAGTCAGTAGTGTTCCAAAAAGCAAGTGAAATAATCTCACAAAAAATTTTGGAGAAGTTACAGAGGTTGGGTTTCACATATTACTAGTAGCTACAGTTGTACATGTATAATCAATACAATAATGTAAATGAAGAAAAATTACACGCTTCTGGTTGACTGAAAATGAGTGCATTCTCAAGTAATATGAGTGCAAAGTTGAAACATGAGTACAAATTACAAACAGCATGCACATGCTTTCAAAATTTTGTCTGGCTTGGCTTGGCTGTACGTTATTAACAAGTAATAACATGATTTCTCTTGCAAATTTGGTGTAATAAGCACTTGTAAAAATTTTCAGGGCCCACAAATTGCACTTGCCCTACAGGCTTATGCAATTTCGTTGTCTTTGAAAAATTTACTTGTGCTTATTAACACCAAATTGCACTCAAAATCATGTTATTACCAATACTGATTGTGATGATGTAGTGATAACACAGTTGTGGATTTTTTTTTCTTTTAACATTTATTTTGGCAATAATGGTGATCCCAATAACACTCCTTATATAAATAACATCCAAGCCTGGCTTTGGCTGAAACTTTTTTTTTTTTGGTTTGCACTTACTTGAGTCCAAGACCATCATCAAAGAAGTAATACTTGGTGTTCATGCCGTGATAGTGTAGAACTGCACTGTCTCCACGCAAGATGATCTTATCCCAAATCACAACTTGGTTAAATTTCTGAATAAGAGAATTAAAAAGAAACATTCAAATAGAACTGGTAAAAGTAAAGGGAAGCTCTTAACCCTTAAACTCTATAACTGACCAGCATCTAATTTCTCCTTACAGAAATACTGCTAAATCATTCATGAAGATCATGAGAGTAAAGGTAATGATCACCACCCTAAGAAGCTTTGATTCTTAAACAAATTCTCCTTATCAGTACCAAAGGAAATTTATAGAGAACAGAATGGAGAATATGCATACTGATGTTATGATGTACAGGGATTAAGTTAGCCATGAGAATTAACCCTTTACATCCTAACATCAGTATGCATATTCTCCATACTATTCCCTATACGTTTCCTAAGCTGTTGACAAGGAGAACTTATAAAACAGTCAAGAGTTTCTTTAGTTTCTGATCACTTCCCTAATTCTTGTGTCCTATAAGTGAGGTTTAGGAGTGATGCTGTAAGGAGAAATTACCATAAAAAAACCCGCAGATAAGCTGCACCCTGAATTTAACAGCTCAAATTTTGGAAAAAAAGTTTTTTTGAAAGAAATAAAAAGAAATCCAAAGTTGAGTCTTGAGAATTCTTCTTCATCCACTGTTCATCGAACGTAACCTCACCATTAACATTGCAATGGAAAATACTTCAAAGTCTTACCCATAATTTTAGAAATTTAATATAAGAAACATTGTTTCTACCAACTTCGACCTATGACTGATCTTTTTCTAGTATTTGTTGACAGGAATTTCTTCATTCCACTCAGTTTTTCCATAAATTTTTGCATTGAAACAAGAATGTGAGCTGAACATTTGAAGCCTGGTAACCAGGCATTAGATTGGCAGCAAAAGTATCAGTTAACGGACATTGGCATTGAAATCAATGACACCTTTTTCAAATGTTCTAGTGAAGATTTTTGGAAAAAAGGTGCAGCTTATCTGCTGGTTTTTACAGTAGTCAAATGCCCAAGACAAACTTACATTATTCTTTGTAGAGTACTCCGCTGTTAAATAAAGGAATAACTGTTTAACGTTCCAGTTGAAGATACCCTTCATATCTGAGACTCATTAAGGAACAATTTGGTTATGTTAATTATTCTTGCAGATGAAAATTGATCCTTGATGCCTTTAGATGGATAATAATCAAGCAAAGAATGCTGCACTTCCCAAACATATGGCTGCTAAAAATAAATTCAAATAGATTAATAAGGAAGAAAAAAGTGAAGTATGGGTTAAATTTAAGTCAGTAGACACCCCATGGAAGCTGAAAAACTGATCAAAACTAGTGACAGCCACTTGAAGGAATATTTGATCAAATCACTCATAAGATTTAACCCTTAATTTTCTAGCATCAGTCGATGTTTTCTCCTTATATATTGAGCATTCTCTCTATATTTCCTATAGTAATGACAATAAGAATTTATCTATTAAACAATTAAGGGCTTCTTAAGGTGATGATCACTGCCTATATTCTCACTTCTAAGTGTTTGAGCAATGATACCATGAGTTCCAAAGAAATAAGATGCTCATCTCTCATACATTTCTTTCAGTTTTAGCTGAAATACAAGTTGGTGTCCAATAAAATGATATCCTCTAGTTGCAATTGTTTTTCTTGTTCCCTTTTTGCTTGAAAATTTACAGATATTGTAGAAGTAAATTCCCTTAAACCTTTCACTCCCACAAATGACCAAGACAGAATTTCTTCTTTCAATATCAACACAGTGTCAAGCAGGTAGATGATGAGAATAAACATAGATATCAATTATGGGATTATTAGTTGATCCAATACCAAATTCTCTGAACTAACATCATAAAAATTGTATGGTAGACAGTAAGGAGAATTGCCAATGAGATCTTGGGAGTGAAAGGGTTAAAATCATCAATAGGAATAAAAACATTAAATTAAGGGTCTATAGGTGAGATTGGAACCAAAAATTTTACCATGGGGCCTCAAATCTGTCTGCTAGCCTTAGATCTGTGTCTGCTTGCAAAGCAACAAACAGCTCTTAACCATATAACCATGGTAACCCAACATGTAAGTAAAATTATAGGTCCATTTAATCTTGTTGGGATGATGGGGGAATGATCGGGGGGGGAGGCGGGGGAGAAATAGCACAACAGCACAATGCAACCACACAACATGTACAGAAAATTAAAAGGCAAAAAGGATATCTGCTTCAAGGTCAAACGTTATAAATCCCAAATCATTCTTTTCCTTAGAAACACTGAAGTCTTGCACATTTTTACTATTCAAAAGATCAAGAGGAAGACACGTGTTAGAACAAGAAACCCGAATATTCTGCCATTGTCAACGATCGACGATCAGGTCGTAAAGACATTGATACTCACACCAAAACTTTCTTCGTCTGTAACTGAAGAGGGGCTTGATGAGCTTTAAAAAGCGTCGATAGGAAACATAGGAATGTCAGGGCGGCGAGTACTGTTAAAGTAAACGCAAATATAGTGTTTAAACGAGAAAGAAATGTGTTCATTTTGTTTCTGAGCCGAATTTTTTGTTAAATTCGGAGTTGTAAACTTTTCATTGGACAGTGGCGTTCGAGTCAATGAAATGCCCACGAGTCTACAGTTTTTTGATGACAGCTGGTCAGTCAGTGCGGGCTTTAACATGGCGGATGAACTTACTGGATTTCTTCGCATTTATAGCACCGAGAAAATTGTTTAAAATATTGAAATTACGCAAGAAAAGTTTCTAATCAATTTTTATTTGTATTTTGCAAGTATTTTAAGGACTTCCGCTTGAGATGATGTAATTTAGTCAGCTTAATGGCGACTCTCGACGCTCTGTTCGATGCGACTTCCCGTTCTTTTGGGAGTAATGTCGCCGTCACCTATAACTCTGGATCAATGCGAGAACACATCACGTACAACGAACTGGTTGTTCAAGCGTCCAAAGTTGAAGACATTTTGGAGACATTGTGCAAAAGACAAGAAACCATAGCGATATATTCCAAACAGTCAATTAGTTTAGTGTCTTGCATTCTTGGAGTGTTGAAGTCTAGAAATTGCTTTGCACCAATTGATTTGTACTGGCCTCCAGACATGATCCGCAAGTTTCTATTGAAACTGAGCATCCATCTTGTTTTATTAGAAGAAGAGCTACTCGAATCATTTGAAAAATGTTTACTGCAATGGAAACCATTTCTACCTAATGGCAGCAAAGTAGAATTTGTCTGTGATCAAGTCCTTGTTAACAGTGGTTTTATACTCTTAAGATGGCAAGATGAATTAAGGGAGGGGAAAGAGAATAGTGAGGATCAGGGCATCGCATATGTCATGCAGACATCTGGTACAACAGGCGAAGCAAAAGCCATCAGAGTACCACACATGTGCATAGTGCCAAACATCACTGACTTGAGGTACGTTTACTATAATGTTTAGTCACTGTAGCAGATTTAGAAGTAGTGAGGACGAGGGGTGATTCCCCTCCCCCCCTCTCTTATTACACTCTTCTCTGATGTTAGAGAAAGGAACTTGAAACTTATGATTGCCTTTTAAGAGGTGGATATTGTGCAATCAACTAATAAGGGCAACACAGCATTGTACAAACTCACTTTCAAGGAGCTTCTCCTCAAATGTAAGGGGGAGGGGCAGGAAAAGTAAAGTATTTTGCCTGGCAACATGGTCTGCATTACAGTAAAGAGCTGCTTCATGAATGTTATTGCAAAATATGTATTCATACAAATAAACTGTGACAAGTGCTGAGGAGTGGGTTATAGCTACACACTTTTGTACAAAGTTTCACATTTTTAAGGCTTCAAATTTTCCTCATGTTACCCCTTAGCTCCTGAATCACCTTCTGGAATCCATACACCACAATATTTACATATGTTTAATCTAGCACTAACAACAATACTTATTCTTCATATTCCACAGGAACATCTTCAAAGTGACATCTGATGATGTGATGTTCCTTACCTCTCCCTACACCTTTGATCCTTTCATTGTTCAGATGTTCACAGCATTTGCAGCTGGAGCCAGACTTGTAATTGTGCCTGACAATGTTAAAATGGTGCCGTCTAAGCTTTGCAGCATTCTTTTTGATGAAGAAAGAGTCACTATTTTACAGGTTAGAGATATTCTATGAGATACAAGACCCTGAGAACCATACCCTGGTTGGCCCCACCCACTCACCCAAAGGATTTACTTCCCCCTTCACTTGAGCTACTTAACTCTGACAAGTTTGCCTAGTGAGAAAATTATCTGTTGATTTCCTCAGCAAAAATTAATTTTGGAAAATTTTGCATACAAACTACAATTTGCTCCTTCAAAGTTTTCAGAATAGCATTGTAAGGATTCTCAAAATGACCACAGTGATCACCTGTATGACAAAGTGATACTGCATAAGTCCTTTTCCGTCTAGACTAAGTTTTATTTCTATATCTCAAACAGCCCACTCCATCACTGTTGTACCACATTGGTCAAGAACTGATTCAGTCAAAGATTCTCGATAAAGATTCATCTCTCAGAGTGCTTGCATTTGGTGGCGAAGCCTGCCCTACCCTCTCCACTCTTAGAAAATGGAGGTCTCCTGAGAGTAACAGCTCAATCTATAATCTTTATGGCATCACAGAAGTTTCCTGTTGGGCATCTTGTCATAAAATTACTGATCGTGAGTTGGAGGATACAAGTGCTGATTTTCATGGTATTTCAACATCTGGACATGTAAGCCTGGAGAGCCACAAAGCCAGTTGGGTTAGTGAAGTACCTCTTGGTACTTCTCTGACAGACACAACCATTGAGGTGCGAGATGCAAATGGGAAAATTGTTTTGGAAGGAGTGGGACAAATATACATTGGTAAGTTATTTTAATTATGGTACAAGCTGAGAGATTTCTTGAAAATAATGTGATTGGCCAGTACCAGTAGTATTTCAGCCAAATTTGAAATACTTACAAGTAAAAATTACATTTTCTTTGATTTGTAGAATGAACTAAAATAGTATGGTTTCTGTGGGATATTAGGGATAAACAACAGCTTGTGCCCTAAATATCACTCACTGCTTCAAATTTGTTATACTGATTTATAATTTTTCCGCACAGTCATTCTATGCTAATTCACTGAGGGGAGAAAAACAAGTGAATCTAATTTTTTTCTTTCTCTCTTTTCAGGTGGTGTAAATAGAGTGTGTCTCCTAGACAATGAAACCCAACTCCACCTGGGAACAATGCGTGCCACAGGGGACTGGGCTTATGTAAAAGACAAGACCATTTGGTACCAAGGACGCAAAGACAGGCAGATCAAGCGAATGGGAAAGAGAATAAATCTGGATTGGATTGAACGGCAGATTTCTGAGCAGTTCCCAGAAATGACATGTTCCTTGGTTTTAGAGAAAACTGCCGACAGAAAACCTGATAAACTTCGCCTATTTGTAGTAAACAAATCTCTGTTGCATGTTCACAATGAACTGTCATCTTTTAAAAGAAGCATACTGAACATCTTACCGGTTGATGCTTGTCCTGATTCAGTACATACGATTTCTCACCTTCCAATGACAGCTCATGGAAAGGTTGACAGAGGCTCCCTGTTAGTTGAGGCTCAGAAAAGAACAAAGCTAGTGGACATGTCTATGAGAGAGTTTTTAAGATATGCCTTGAATGAAGTCTTGGGAGTCACTGAAACCAATGGTGAACAGAAGATTTTTACTGACAGTGAGGAAAGACAGGCTGATGGTTTGTTTCATGTCAAACAAAGAGATTTTAAGGAAGATGACATGTTTATTGCTTGTGGTGGGTCATCTCTTAATGCGGTAAGGCTTGTGGATCTAATTGAGACATTTGTTACTGAAGAGAAGGAGACAGAAGTTGATCTTTCAGAGTTATTGGACATAATTTTAACAAAACCCTTTGGTGCCCTTTGTGGCTACCTTGAGAGAAAACTCAATATCTTTGATAAAGGAAAGGATCTGGACTCCAAGGAGACACATCATCTACATCAGGATGCAAATGCTCTTACAAATACTCTTGTAATTAGTGTTCCTTCTGAGCAAGTGCCTGTTCTTCCAGTGAAGAGAAAGTTCTCAACTCTAGCTGATGGTGCCTCCCTTTATAATAATGAGGCAGCAAAAAAGATCCAGGGAGTAGAAGAAAGTGAAGACTCTAGCACAAATGCTCCATCCAGTGTAGCTGATGTGAAAACCTGTTTTTGTACTGTACAAAGACAAAACCAGTTTACCATTTGTAACATCTGTAAACAATCAACACCAAGCATAGATAGGCTTGTGGCAGGCAAGGCACAAATATTTCCTGCCGGTCTAACCAGTGTTCAGGCTGGTATGATATCCTGTGAGGCTGGACCATCACCAGTGATGACCAAGGTCTCTAAGGAGTTCTCCTCTTCTGTCCAAGATCATAAAGTTCCCAGGAATGTCAACCTAGATACAGGAAATTTTAACAATGCCAAAGGAAAAGTTTCTGTTTCTTGTCAGTGGCGAACTTGTCTGTACAAGTGTATTGATGCATCACCTCTTGTGGTTCATGCACCAGGGAGGTCTGAAGGAGAAGTTTTCATTGGTTCTCACAGTCACATGTTCATGTGCATCAGACTGAGTGATGGCAAAGTCCTGTGGGAGAGTAGGCTGGGGGACAGAATAGAATCTTCTGCAGCTCTTTCACTCTGTGGTAGATATGTAATAGTGGGTAAGGTATTGTATATTGTTTTTTAATTAAATGGCAGGAGTTACTCGTAAATAAGTAAATAAGGCAAATGAGAGAGACGCTGTGATTATGTTACAGGATCTGAATACATACTTTGAGTGTTTGTGTATAGAACTTGTTTTTACTTTCTCTGGAGTGGTTTTTTTCCATTACTGGTATCAAGATTCTCAATGCATGAGTATGCATTTTAAAAGAAAATGTCAATAAGAGGCTAAAATACTGCTGATTTGGTTATTCAAAATGTTTTCTTCACTCAAACTCTTCCCTACCCTTCCCTCCCCTCCTTTCTTTCAGCTTGAACTGAGACAAATTAAAGACCATGTCTTTCAAACAATATTAGTAATAATTCACAGTTTCTGGTGAATGTAGAAAGCTGACGTGGCCTCTGTAATGATTGTGATGGTATTTCCAATGGCCTGATTTGCTATTTATCTTATCAAATGTACCCTAATATTTGTTGTTTTTTAGGTTGTTATGATGGCCAAGTGTATGTACTCAACCGCTTCACCGGTGAAACAAGTTGGACATTCCAAACAGGAGCAGCAGTGAAAAGTTCTCCTTGCATTGACCCCCAGACTGGGGTGGCCTGGGTTGGGTCACATGATCACTATTTGTATGCCCTTGATGTCACAAATAGGCAGTGCATTTCTGCAACACACTGCGGTGCAGGATCTTGTTTCAGTTCTCCATGTATAAGTAAGAAACCTCATTTAGTATTCATTGCTACACTAAGTGGCCGTCTTCTTGCAATTGGTGCTACTGAACATACAATACTTTGGAGTCAGCAGTGTCCTAAGCCAGTGTTTGCATCACCATTATTGACACCCATTGGTATAGTTTGCGCATGCGTGAATGGATTTGTTTATTGTTTTGACTTCCAGGGTAATAAGCTATGGGAGTTTGAGACACAAGCTTCAGTGTTCTGTTCAGCGACTTTGTACCATGATGTAAGATATGGTTCCAGGATCTCACACTGTATTTTTTTTGGCTCACATGACAAATCTGTGTATTGCTTGTCACTAACTGGTGAGCACTTGTGGAGATTTACAACTGATGGGCCTGTGTATTCAAGTCCTTTTGTAGCCATGATTGAGGAAAATATGTCTTGTCACACAATGTGTAACGCAAGGCCTTGTGATGAGCATGATACTCAATTAGCAGTGTTTGCTTTGTCAAGTGTTGGAAGCCTGTATATTCTGGATTTTTATTCAGGAGTTCTTTTAGCTTTTTATTCATTGCCTAGTGAAGTATTTTCTTCATCTGTTGTATTCAACAATCAAATTCTCATTGGCTGTAGGGACAACTATCTCTACTCACTTGGAATATTAACCCTTTAACTCCTCAAGATCTCATCAGTAATTCTCCTTACTGTCTGCCACATAGTTCTTATGATGTTAATTTGGAGAATTTGGTATTGGATCTACTAATAATTCCTAATTAATATTTATTCTCATCACTTGTCTGCCTGATATTGTATTGATATTGTATGGAGAAATTCTGTCTTGGTCACTTGTGGGAGTTAAAGGGTTAAATGAAACTGAAGAGTAAGTAGTAACAATGTTGACTATAAAAAATATTTTTATTTTCTTTTTACTCATCTAAAAATACAGCTAGATTTTCATTTTAATTAATTCCCAGACTGAATTATTTTTTCTGCAGACTTAAGACTGAATATATTTTATATTACAAAGTTGAATTACAATCAGAATTATCAATATTGCTATTTTACGTCTGTTATTTGACTTAATTGCTTTAGTTAACCAGTTCAAATATAAAAAAAGAAAATTTAACTAAGATAAACTATATGGAAAAAAATTATTTTAGTGATTGCATTTCCAGTGGCACATAAGAATATTCTATTATCAAATTCTCTACCTCAAGCAGCTATTCATCTTAAACTTAAGTGCAAGTCATTATTGATCCCTTGGGGGGGAAGACTGGGAGGATTTTGGGGGATCACATGGTGTTTTGGGGGAGTGGAGGGGGATCAGTCATCACTGAAAAGAGGATCATAGAAAATTTACTGGCAATGAGGGGGATCATTAGAATACTACAGAGCCTTAGGGGGGGAGGGGAGCAATGGCTTCCCCTTCTTCCCAGCCCTCTATCCCCCCCCCCCCTAAGGTTATGGATAATGAGTAGTCCCTGATTTGCCAATTTCAGCCCTGGTATTCCTACAGTAAATGATTGTTGTGAAAAGAGAAGAGTTGGGTATTAAATTTTTACAACTTTCACTCCCTGGCAGGTAAATTACTTTTTCATTTCCTCGTTTGACTGAACTTGATCAATAGAAAAGTTACAATTAAAGAAAAAAAATCCGCCTCCTCTTAACGTTCCATGCCGTGTCGCAGGTCATCTATGGCAAGCTGTACGTTACGTAACTTATTCTGAATACGCCTTACATCAACATGTTCGGGACCAAGTTTTTTCAGTCGAATGTTTAAAGCTCGTTTAAAGTACACCTTGGCCTGTTCCAGGTCGCCAAATTCACGGTGTACATCACCCAAACCTTCGTAGGAAAATGCCACATAAACATGGTCAGGTTCGAGATTCTTCAACTGGATATGTAAAGCACGTTCGTATAGCTCTTTGGCCTGTTGCATGTTATCCAACGCTAATTGCACATTACCCAAATGGTGGTATGAATTCGCCAAATCAACATGTTCGGGTTCAAGATTTTTCAGGCGTATAGCCAGTGCTTGTTCGTGATATTCCTTGGCCTGTCCCAGATTATTCCATTTACGATGCACCATGCCTAAGTTATGATAAGTATCCACGACTTCAAGGTGCTTGAGACCAAGCTTTTTCAACTGAATGTCTAGAGCACACTCCAAATGCTCCTTAGCCTTTTGAAGGTTACACAATTCACGTTCTACATTTCCCAATTTAAAGTAATTACGGGCGACATCAACATGCTCGGGTCCAAGCTTTTTCAACCGAATGTCTAGAGCTCGTTGATAACACTCCTTAGACTTTTGCAGGTCACCCAATTTACGCTGTACAATACCCAAGTCATAGGAAGTATCAGCGACATCAACATGCTCGGATCCAAGCCTTTTCAACCGAATGTCTAGAGCTCGTTGATAACACTCCTTAGACTTTTGCAGGTCACCCAATTCACTCTGTACAGTACCCAAGCCATAGTAAATATCAGCGACATGAACATGCTCGGGTCCAAGCTTTTTCAACAGAATGTCTAGAGCTCGTTAATAACACTCCTTAGACTTTTGCAGGTCACCCAATTTACGCTGTACAACACCCAAGCCATAGTAAATATCAGCGACATCAACATGCTCGGGTCCAAGCCTTTTCAACTGAATGTCTAGAGCTCGTTGATAACACTCCTTAGACTTTTGCAGGTCACCCAATTTAAGCTGTAAAATACCCAAGCCATAGAAAATATGAGCGACATGAACATGCTCGGGTCCAAGCCTTTTCAACCGAATGTCTAGAGCTCGTTGATAACACTCCTTAGACTTTTGCAGGTCACCCAATTCACTCTGTACAATACCCAAGCCATAGTAAATATCAGCGACATGAACATGCTCGGGTCCAAGCCTTTTCAACCGAATGTCTAGAGCTCGTTGATAACACTCCTTAGACTTTTGCAGGTCACCCAATTTACGCTGTACAATACCCAAGCCATAGTAAATATCAGCGACATCAACATGCTCGGGTCCAAGCCTTTTCAACTGAATGTCTAGAGCTTGTTGATAACACTCCTTAGACTTTTGCAGGTCACCCAATTTACGCTGTACAATACCCAAGCCATAGTAAATAGTAGCGACATGAACATGCTCGGGTCCAAGCCTTTTCAACTGAATGTCTAGAGCTCGTTGATAACACTCCTTAGACTTTTGCAGGTCACCCAATTCACTCTGTACAATACCCAAGCCATAGGAAGTATCAGCGACATCAACATGCTCGGGTCCAAGCTTTTTCAACCGAATGTCTAGAGCTCGTTGATAACACTCCTTAGACTTTTGCAGGTCACCCAATTTACGCTGTACAATACCCAAGCCATAGTAAATAGTAGCGACATCAACATGCTCGGGTCCAAGCCTTTTCAACTGAATGTCTAGAGCTCGTTGATAACACTCCTTAGACTTTTGCAGGTCACCCAATTTACGCTGTACAATACCCAAGCCATAGTAAATATCAGCGACATGAACATGCTCGGGTCCAAGCCTTTTCAACCGAATGTCCAGAGCTCGTTGATAACACTCCTTAGACTTTTGCAGGTCACCCAATTCACTTTGTACATTACCCAAGCTATAGTAAGTATCAGCGACATGAACATGCTCGGGTCCAAGCCTTTTCAACCGAATGTCTAGAGCTTGTTGATAACACTCCTTGGACTTTTGCAGGTCACCCAATTTACGCTGTACAATACCCAAGTCATAGTAAATATCAGCGACATCAACATGCTCGGGTCCAAGCCTTTTCAACTGAATGTCCAGAGCTCGTTGATAACACTCCTTAGACTTTTGCAGGTCACCCAATTTACGCTGTACAATACCCAAGCCATAGTAAATAGTAGCGACATCAACATGCTCGGGTCCAAGCCTTTTCAACTGAATGTCTAGAGCTTGTTGATAACACTCCTTAGACTTTTGCAGGTCACCCAATTTACTCTGTACAATACCCAAGCCATAGTAAATAGCAGCGACATGAACATGCTCGGGTCCAAGCCTTTTCAACTGAATGTCCAGAGCTCGTTGATAACACTCCTTAGACTTTTGCAGGTCACCCAATTCACTTTGTACAATACCCAAGCCATAGTAAATATCAGCGACATGAACATGCTCGGGTCCAAGCCTTTTCAACCGAATGTCTAGAGCTCGTTGATAACACTCCTTAGACTTTTGCAGGTCACCCAATTTACGCTGTACAATACCCAAGTCATAGTAAATATCAGCGACATCAACATGCTCGGGTCCAAGCCTTTTCAACTGAATGTCCAGAGCTCGTTGATAACACTCCTTAGACTTTTGCAGGTCACCCAATTTACGCTGTACAATACCCAAGCCATAGTAAATATCAGCGACATGAACATGTTCGGGTCCAAGCCTTTTCAACCGAATGTCTAGAGCTCGTTCAAAACACTCCTTAGACTTTTGCAGGTCACCCAATTTACGCTGTACAATACCCAAGCCACGGTAAATATCAGCGACATGAACATGCTCGGGTCCAAGCCTTTTCAACCTAATGTCCAGAGCTCGTTCAATATGGTCCTTAGCTTGTTGCCACTTTTCCAGTTCTCTTTCCACTAAACTCATGGTAGCCAATGAAAACGCCACATAAATATGATCATGACCAAGATTCTTCACTTGGATTTCCAAAGCACGTTCATAATACTGCATGGCCTCTTTCAGGTTACCCAAGTCGTGCTGTACATTACCTAGATGATGGTATGAATTTGCCACATCAACATGTTGGGGTCCAAGATTTTTTAGCTGAATGTCTAGAGCACGTTCATGATTCTCCTTGGAATTTTGAAAGTCACCCAACTCACGCTGAACCCCACCTAGTAAATTGCAAATTCTCACAAGGGCATCATCTGTGGGTCCAAGTTCTTTTAACTCAACGTCTCCAGGATACTCACAACTCCGTATCCCCTTATCCATTTCAACCAGTTTCAAAGCTGTTTCACAGTAAACTTTTGCTCCTGAAAATTCGCGGTGATTTCTGCAAATTCTTGCAAGCCTTCTGAAATATTCTGAACATTTGAAGTAGTTGAAAACGTGTTTCTCGGTAACTTGATATTTATCCTCGTGAAGGAAGACCTTTTCAACTTCTGCAGCAAACGTATTCAAGTGTGGAATGAGATGCTCACTATCACGAATAGAGTTTTCGTTGTGCCAAGTGTGTGGTAGATGAATGTCTATGAATTGGTTGAAGGACATTACAGCGTATGCAACACTTCGAACGTGTTCATCAGGCTCCTGACACTCGTTGATTACAGATTTACTGGCTTCATGCACAACTTGATGCACACTAACAAAAATTCCACTTTCTCTCTCATCGAAGAGAAGAAGAGAGTAGCCTTGGATCTGAAGGGCAATTTCTTCTTTATCCAAATGCGGATTTTGATCATTCAAAATGTAGTTCATAAGGATGTCTAAATGCAAAGGTTGTAAAGAACACAGGGAAAGGAGTGTAAACGCGCTTTTAACAACACTGTCATTGTTTATCGCTCGTTCAATAGCCAGCTTGGTTGCGACAGTCATGGACTTCCTGTAGCTTGGGTTGGTTTTTGTTAGTTCCTTTTCAGTAAGGGCTCGCATACCTCTCTCTAGCTTTTCTAAGTACTCTTCCCATCCAAAGCTTCTGGCAACTTTACTTTCACGAACCTTTTTCATGTAAACGCCTGCACTAGCCAGCGCGAGGGGTTGGTAATCTAATGCCTTAGCGATTTTATCCTCCATTCCTTGTTGTCTAATACCAGAGACCTTTGCTAAAAAGCAACGGGCATCTGTGGGCACCATGCCTTCGCTCACTGAAATGTGAGAGACAAACGAGCTTTCAGAGGGGATGGATAAAGAGTTCTGTGTTGTGATAAGCAACTGGCCTTTCGTCCACAGGTGGTTTCCAGGCCGAGGGAGAAAATCATGTACATCACATAAACTGCTAACATTGTCGACCACCAAGAGCCACGATCCGTAAAGAGGAATTTTGGTTGCTATCAAATCCTTTAGATTGTTGATTTGTTCTTCAAACTGCATATCTGTTGAGTTTAGGGTTTGCATGATAGTGTATTCAGGGCACTTGATTTGTCTTCCCAAAGAAGCGTACGATTCCAGGAGCGTTTTTGAACTTTCAGCGTTAAGAGTCATTACGAACGTGGGGGTTTTGAGGTCTTCGTTAGCTGTTTCGTAAAAGTGTTGAGCTACTAGACCGGCTAGTTGAGATTTGCCACTTCCAGGGTTACCCGAAATATATAAGTAACTCAAACCATTTTCATTTGCTTCTCTCAGCCGTTCAAGTCGTTTTGTTATTTTGCCAACCTCGCTCTCGCGAGGTGCGATTTCGTGTGATGGTTTAGGCGGAAGAATGCAGAATGAAGAAACATCACTATGTAACTGTTCCTCAAGAATATGATGCTGTTCTTCAAGGACTTGATGCTTTTCGTCAAGGACTTGATACTGTTGTTGAAGGACCTGATTATCTTCTTCAAGGAGTTGATGTCTTTCTGTAAGGAAACGGTTTTGCTTTTGAAAGGTTTGTAGTTTCACGTTGGTTTCACGGAGTTCATGGTAAAGGATCTTAACGTTTTCCAAAACACTTTGAAGTTCCTCTGTCGGAAAACTTTTCTGCTTGCAGACATTTTGAATATCATTGGTTGAGAGACCAAGACACTGAAATGCGATCTTCACTTTTTGAACAGCAAGTCTGAACTGTAGATCTGACAGCTGACCCTGTGGCATGTGAGCGAACTCTTCATTGCGAAATTCTCTGAGCTCATCGACATTCGAGCGAACTGCTGCACCGAGTCCGTGGCCGATAGAATCGGAGTATAGTATTGCAAAAAAGAGTGTAGTACAATCCCACTGTGCCCTATCTCTATTTTTTATCGTTTCCAGCAGACGAGCATTACGCGTTCGGCTCCGGGGAGACTCCCTGTTGTAGAAGTCCATTCCATTTTGAGGTGTATCTTTCCATTCTCCTAAAGTTGCCTGGTAACGACTGTTCCACTCTTGTTTAAAAATAGATCGCAGCCCTTGTGGCAGGATATTAGTGACAATATGACAAATTCTGAAGTAATTTAATTGCTCTTTGGTGTAAACTGAGGAAGCCATGTCTTCCTTGTCGTGTCATTCTTTTAAGTTTCAACCCTGTTTGGAAACCATATTACATATTCAATATTGACTGAAAAGAATCCCAATTTCAACTGCCAATTACTTGCATTAAACGTGCGAGAATAAGAAATTTCATGATAAGTTCACTTTGGTATTTTTTGCAAGGCCTTCATGGTTGCACTTACTCATTGAATGCAAACATACGAGAAATTAAAGAAATCGGATGACTGCGAAGTGGAAGTTCGATTTGTCAATCGCGAGTATGATTACAGATCAAAATTGTCGACGCGAAAACCTCTTACCAAGTAATTATAACCATTTCAATTTCCGAGAAAAACAAAATGTATTCATCAGAAAAAGGGCTTATAATTACAATCTTTAAACGCTGAAGCATTACAATCTTTGAG